TCTGCTTTGTTTCCTAGCGCCACTGAGTCTGTGTGTGCCCCCATGGATTTCCTGAAACAAGCGCCGAGGATCTGTGTCCTGTGGCAGCTACTACAGAGGCATCTTGTTGTCCTCCTGTTTTAGGGAGGCTGTTTGCTGTCTGCTGTTCACTTTTCATTGTTTGAAGTGTGTGTGAGTGTTGTTTTCATGCCATATTGAACAACTTCTCCCCTCTGCCACCCTAAGAAAGCTGTGTGAGGATAAGTGAGAAGCTCTCACCTCTGCTGGCCAGGGTTGTTTGTCTGAATCCCCAGCTGCAGGGCAGGAATTGAAGACTGTCCATGCCTCAGCGGGCTGCGCTTGTTGGGACTTGGGTGAAAGAGTGTGTCTTCTCCTTAACCTGGGATTCTATTTTCTCCTTCTCCTTCTCCTTGTCCTTCTCCTCCCCTTTGTTATTGAATACATGAGGAAAACAACAGATAAACCATGTTGGTGGAGAACTGAAGGAAACGAATGAATGTTGTGGAAAATGTTTGTGTGTTGCTTAGGAAAAGGTGTTCAGGAAAATGTGTGAATGCATTGGTTGCAGTTTTGAAAAGTGTGGGAAGTCCTATTACTCCATTAAGATGTGTGTCTTGTGAGTAAGTGGCTAGGTATCTGCTGTTCTTCCTAAACAGCTTCAGCACTCAGAAGGAGAAGAGATTTGTTGATGGCATTTGGCTTTGTTCTCCATGTTTTCCTGCCTTAACTCCAAGCCAAGACGCTTTGCTCCATCCGATGTCCCCACTTCAGCCTTTCCTGCTATGTCTCCCGTTTGGCTCAACTTCTGCAGGATGTGCTCTCATCTTGTCTGCTAGTTACATGGCTGGAGGTCAGGACCAATGGGGGGAAGACGAATGACGGAGGGAGGATGCATGGCCTTCATATTCAACCTCTGTGAGCTGACCTCCCATCCCCCCTTCAGGACATTTGCGCTATGTTTACAAATGGTGCTTTATAGCTTCCCAAGATATGCTCCTTGCTTTCCAGGCCTCCTAATCATCACAATCCAATCTTTGAGTTTGCCCTAAGAATTCACTGAGTATCTGTACCTGTGCAGAGTGCAAACCTTGTGAGGTTGAGATTGACCTGATAGCAGAGCTGCCGCTTCTTCCCTGGCTGTGCACCCAGGGGAAACTGACTGGGAATGACAAGGATTAAAGAGATA